GGAGTTTTATTTTTTAGTTGTTTACACAGATATATACTGGGATAGCATTTTTGTGTGTTGTAGCCATACTGTGCAGGCCGATGCGATAAATTACTAAAATGGAAGCCACCTTCACACAATTCGATTGATTTTCTGTTGCGAATTCAACGTATCTGCAAACCCGGTGAATTACCCGAATACATTGGCTTTCTGTATGTGCAACATGAAAATGAACCAAAAGCGCAAATGAAAGCTACCAAAAAATTGTTGCCTTATAATAATAAAATCATCGAATGCACTTACACGGTTGGTTTTCTTTCTCTCTCTCTGCCTTTCTTGCTCTCTTTTCGAATAATTTCACAATGAGCAACTTGGGGAATGCAGTTTGAACAGTTTCTCGCCTCTGATTGCTTTCCAAATTGTTTGCATTTTTAGCTGTAACAGAGCATATATGACCCTGTAATGGAGTATGTATGACCCTGTACGTTATTAATCAGATTGCAGCACCAGGTTGACCTGGAAGCGCAGACAGCGAAGATGCGATGGAATTTAGAAAAAAAGAATAGTGAAGGAGAGAAGGCAAGAGTGAGATAAGACGTTTCGGTCCATTAAGTAATATACTTCTTAACGCTGCGACTGGACCTCGTCAGTATGATCATGCAAGAATGCATTATTTCGCATGGACAGCTCTCTCTCTCTCTCCTCTCTTCTACGCCTCTTCTCTGTTACTTGTGATTGAATTAACAGGATTCCGTAAGATCTCGATAATTACTAAAACACATCCTCTCCTCTATCCCGTCCCCAAAACTTACTTGCGGAACCAACCACTACCCACTGATTGTTCCGCACTCCTCACTAGCTCTCTTGTTCCTCTCATCTATCTTGTCTTAATCTCTGCTCCCTGAGCTATATTCGGGCACCTATCAGATATGCCCATTCACATGCAATCCCCCAACGCACGCGATCCATTAACCGAACGCCGGGTATCGCTGCCTAACACACCTGGCAAACTGCCAGGCGGCGTAAACGAGACTCGCCGCGAAATAGCGTTAGCGGAAACGCAGAGCTGACAGCCGAGCCGAGCCATGTTTCAGTAATTGCCTAGGATCTCTGCTCAGAAATTTGCTTTCTGCCGTGAAAGAAGTTAAAAGCTGTTCTGTATGTGCTCTCCATGAAGCGCGGACGCAGTGGGAAGTAGTCCGAGTGATAATAAATGCCAATAACAACCACACGAAAACAGGACTTCCAGTAACTCCCAATTTCAAGGGTTGCTTACGAAGAAACTAATGGCGGTCTCGACTCCCCGGCATATGCCAATATTAGTTTACCATCGAAATGAATGATCGGATCGCAGGGTAGTGATTGGTTGCCTAGAAATGCGGTTGTGGAAGAAGAAAAAAAACGCTGAAAAATTATAAATTTTGCAGAATGGCAAATGGGAATTTATGCGAGAGCGTACGGACAAGAGTTTGCCGAATTCAAGTAAAACAGCAACAGCTGTCTGGAATAGCATCATTTATCCGATTGACAAAGAAATGCTAGTTGCCTACGTGGAAAATATCTGCAATAGAAGGTTACGAAAAAGGCCTGCACAATTAACGTCGCATAATCAAAAACAATAATCACTTCTGAGAAACTTTATATAGTCTTTCTGATCGGCTGGTACCGGTACTTTTGCATA